ATTGTGGTGGTGTATAGAGCCAAAAATGTTAGAATTGTGTCGATGTCCCAATATTTATGGACCTGACTGTATATGGAGATCATATCCCCCCTTATGTATTATACATGGAGATCATATCCCCCCCTTATGTATTATACATGGAGATCATATCCCCCTTATGTATTGTACATGGAGATCATATCCCCCCTTATGTATTATACATGGTGATCATATCCCCCTTATGTATTATACATGGTGATCATATCCTCCCTTATGTATTATACATGGAGATCATATCCCCCTTATGTATTATACATGGAGATCATATCCCCCCCCTTATGTATTATACATGGAGATCATATCCCCCCCTTATGTATTATACATGGAGATCATACCCCCCCTTATGTATTATACATGGACATCATATCCCCCCTTATGTATTATACATGGTGATCATATCCCCCTTATGTATTATACATGGAGATCATATCCCCCTTATGTATTATACATGGAGATCATATCCCCCCTTATGTATTATATATGGAGATCATATCCCCCCTTATGTATTATACATGGAGATCATATCCCCCCTTATGTATTATACATGGAGATCATATCCCCCCTTATGTATTATACATGGTGATCATATCCCCCCTTATGTATTATACATGGAGATCATATCCCCCCTTATGTATTATACATGGAGACCATATCCCCCCCTTATGTATTATACATGGAGATCACATCCCCCCTTATGTATTATACATGGAGATCATATCCCCCCTTATGTATTATACATGGAGATCATATCCCCCTTATGTATTATACATGGAGATCACATCCCCCCTTATGTAGTATACATGGAGATACATCCCCCCTTATGTAGTATACATGGAGATCACATCCCCCCTTATGTAGTATACATGGAGATCACATCCCCCCTTATGTATTATATATGGAGATCATATCTCCCCTTATGTATTATACAGTCAGGTCCATAAATATTGGGACATGGACACAATTCTAACATTTTTGGCTCTATACACCACAATGGATTTGAAATGAAACGAACAAGATGTGCTTTAACTGCACACTGTCATCTTTAATTTGAGGGTATTTACATCCAGAATCAGGTGAACGGTTTGTAGGAATTACAACAGTTTGCATATGTGCCTCCCACTTGTTAAGGAACCAAAAGTAATGGGACAGAATATATCATCATAAATCAAGCTTTCACTTTTTAATACTTGGTTGCAAATCCTTTGCAGTCAATTACAGCCTGAAGTCTGGAACGCATAGACATCACCAGACGCTGGGTTTCATCCTGGTGATGCTCTGCCAGGCCTCTACTGCAACTGTCTTCAGTTCCTGCTTGTTCTTGGGGCATTTTCCTTCAGTTTTGTCTTCAGCAAGTGAAATGCTCAATCGATTCAGGTCAGGTGATTGACTTGGCCATTGCATAACATTCCATTTTATTTCCTTTAAAAACTCTTTGGTTGCTTTTGCAGTCTGCTTTGGGTCATTGTCCATCTGCACTGTGAAGCGGCATCCAATAAGTTCTGAAGCATTTGGCTGAATATGAGCAGATAATATTCCCGAAACACTTCACAATTCATCCTGCTGCTTTTGTCAGCAGTCACATCATCATAAATACAAGAGAAGCAGTTCCATTGGTAGCCATACATGCCCACGCCATGACACTACCACCACCATGATCACTGATGAGGTGGTATGCTTAGGATCATGAGCAGTTCTCTTCTCCATACTCTTCTCTTCCCATCACTCTGGTACAAGTTGATTGTCGGTCTCATCTGTCCATAGGATGTTGTTCCAGAACTGTGAAGGCTTTTTTACATGTCATTTGGCAAAACTCTAATTCTGGCTTCCTGTTTTTGAGGATCACCAATGGTTTCCATCTTGTGGTGAACCTCTATATTCACTCTGGTGAAGGTTCTTCTCTTGATTGGTGACTTTGACACACATACACCGACCTCCTGGAGAGTGTTCTTGATCTGGCAACTGTTGTGAAGGGTGTTTTCTTCACCCCAGTGGAAAGAATTCTTCGCTCATCCACACAGTTGTTTTCCGTGGTCTTCCGGGTCTTTTTATTGGTGTTGCTGAGCTCACCGGTGCGTTCCTTCTTTTTAAGAATGTTCCAAACAGTTGTTTTGGCTACGCCTAATGTTTTTGCTATCTCTTGATGGGTTTGTTTTGTGTTTTCAGCCTAATGATGGGGCTTGCTTCACTGATAGTGACAGCTCTTTTGGATCTCATCTTGAGAGTTGACAGCACAAAACAGATTCCAAATGCAAATGCTCACTTGAACATGAACTCTGGACCTTTTATCTGTCATTGTAGTTGGGATAATGGAGGGAATAAACACACACCTGGCCATATGAACAGCTAGAAAGCCAATTGTCCCATTACTTTTGGTCCATTTACAAGTGGGAAGCACATATGCAAACTGTTGTTAATTCCTACACCGTTCATCCTGATTTAGATGTAAATACCCTCAAATGACAGTCTGGCAAAAGCACATCTGACAGTTTCATATCTTCAAATCCATTGTGGTGGTGTAAGAGCCTAAAACATCTTAGATTTGTGTTTTTCCAATATTTTGGGACCTGAATTTGGAGATCATAATCATTATGTATTATACATGGTGATCATATCCCCCCCTTATGTATTAGATACATGGTGATCATATCCCCCCTTATTCTTATACATGGACCTGTACCCTTCTGTATATGGGAGATCATATCCCCCCTTATGTATTATACATTATGTATTATACATGGACGTTCATATCCCCCCTTATGTATTATACATGGAGATCATATCCCCCTATTGTATACATGTTGAGATCATATCCCCACTTATGGAGATCATATCCCCCCCCCCCTTATGTATTATACATGGAGATCATGATCCCCCCCTTAGGTATTATACATGGAGATCATATCCCCCTATGTATTATACATGGGTGATCATATCCCCCTTATGTATTATACATGAGATCATATCCCCCCTTATGATATATACATGGAGATCATATCCCCCCTTATGTATTCCACATGGAGATATCACCCCCTTATTATAATACATGGAGCATCATATCCCCCCCCCTTATGTATTATTTATACATGGAGATCATATCCCCCCTTATGTATTATACATGGAGATCATATCCCCCCTTATGTATTATACATGGAGATCATATCCCCCTTATGTATTATACATGGAGATCATATCCCCCTTATGTATTATACATGGAGATCTCATATCCCCCCCATTATGTATTATACATGGAGATCATATCCCCCCTTTATGTATTATACATGGTGATCATATCCCCCCTTGTGTCTGATTGGAGATAATTATACTCATGGAGATCATATCCCCCCACCTTATGTATTATACATGGAGATCATATCCCCCCTTATGTATTATACATGGAGATCATATCCCCCCTTATGTATTATACATGGAGATCATATCCCCTTATGTATTATACATGGAGATCATATCCCCCCTTATGTATTATACATGGAGATCATATCCCCCCTTATGTATTATACATGGAGATCATATCCCCCCTTATGTATTATACATGGAGATCATATCCCCCTGTATGTATTATACATGGAGGTCATATCCCCCTTATGTATTATACATGGAGATCATATCCCCCTTATGTATTATACATGGAGATCATATCCCCCCTTATGTATTATACATGGAGATCATATCCCCCCTTATGTATTATACATGGAGATCATATCCCCCTTATGTAATTATACATGGAGATCATATCCCCCCTTATGTATTATACATGGAGATCATATCCCCCCTTATGTATTATACATGGAGATCATATCCCCCCTTATGTATTATACATGGAGATCATATCCCCCTTATGTATTATACATGGAGATCATATCCCCCCTTATGTATATACATGGAGATCATATCCCCCCTTATGTATTATACATGGAGATCATATCCCCCTTATGTATTATACATGGAGATCATATCCCCCCTTATGTATTATACATGGAGATCATATCCCCCCCTTATGTATTATACATGGAGATCATAACCCCCTTAATCTCCTCTTCTCAGTAGAGAATACATTCAGTTCCTCTAATCTTTCCTCATAGCTGATCTCCTCCATGCTTCGTATCAATTTGGTTGTCCTCCTCTGTACTTTTCTTCAGTTCCCCAATGTTCTTTTTATGAAATGGTGCCCAAACTGAACTGTATATTCCAGATGAGGTGTTACTAATGATTTGTACCGGGGGGGGGGGGGGGGGGCATGATATCTCTCTCTCTGGAGTCTTCACCTCTTCTAGGATCTGTTCCTGTTGTAATCTTTATGCCTTGATGTTTAGTGTATAAGGGGGGTTTTGCTACCTTTCCTGCATCCCTCTCTGTATTACACCAGTCTCATTGGATGATTGGTCTGGTGCTGGGTTTCTCCTGGCACCTATGGTTGGTCAATTCTGAGTATAGGAGATTTTTGCACTCTCTCCTGCATTGGAACATGTTACAGCTTACAATTGAGTCTTACAAATGAGTCATCCATACAATGATCTTTCTACTAATGAGTTTTCCTCTGACGGGGATTTACCTACTTGGGACCTGTGGAGTGTTACGTTTTTTTGTGTTTGTTTTGTACTTTTTAATTTTGTTTGTAGTAAAGAAGTTTTCCTGCACCACTGATCACCTTCTCCTTTGTTTGAATGATTTCTCCTGAGTATTTACAAAATTCCCTGTTCCGGTTGAGTCCACAACTATTTCTTTTTCTGTTCGTTTCTCATTGGCTTGGTGTCTAGGGACTCCCGGGATATGTATTTTCGTTGGATCGTATATTTTTAGGTACCTTGAGGATTCTTTTTGGAAGTTTTGCAAATTATTTTAGTAACTATAAACTGCTAAATATCTTTTCTCATTTCACTATATAGCAGTCTTTTGACTTATATCCGTGTCCGGCCGAGCGCTGGTTATCCACTTGCCGTCTGGTCCATGTATATAAACGGCCTGACGGTGGCAGTGCAGGGGTGGGTTTCTGTTCATAAACGGCGCCGCCATTTTGGATTGTGCGCACTCCCTTGGAGTGTGCGGCATCGCGATCCGGTGCCCGCTGTGCCCGGAAGAACAGTGCAACACCGATCGCTGTATGGGACCTTTGTGTGAGTGGTCTCGATCATGTGATCACTGATTGGCCAACAGCCTTGTACCATGTGATAAGCTGCGACCAATCACAGCTCTCACAGTATTTCTCTATGGCTGCAAGAATGCAGCCAGAGAGAAGGAGCAATGATTGCTTTTACAGCCTTTATGGGTGTAAAAGAAATGTGTAAAAAGAAAAAAAAATTGTTCATCACCCCCAGAAGTAGTACAGTGTCACTATGGTGACATTGTATTGCTATGGTGACGATATGTTAAAAAAAAACATAATCTAAAAAAAAAAAAAAAATGTACATTTTTTTTTTTTTTTAAATTATAATTTTTGGTTATAAACTAATTTGGGTTATTTGTGTTTTTTACTAAAACGATGACTGAGTAAATTTTGGCCAAGATTTATGAAGAAATATTATTTATTTGCAAAATTTTAAACACTTTTTTTCAAAATGTTTGGACTTTTTCATTTTCAGCGAAAAAAAATAAAAATGCTAAAAAATTTCATATAGGTGCAGTGTTGCATGACCGCGCAATTGTCAAAGTGCGACGGCACTGAAAGCTGAAAATTGGCCTGGGCAGAAAGGGGGGTAAAAGTTTCCCGACATGAAGTGGTTAAAGCGTGTTTTCATTTTGACTGTCCTTTGAAGTTTCATGACCCCTGACCCTCTGTGTGGGGACAGTGCTGATTGGCCTTGTGCACCCTCCCAAAAAAACAAAACAAAAACACTCTAGCAATACGCACCAAACTGAGCATGTGCAGAGTGCCTCCTAGAGCTCTGTACTATCAGCAGATGGATTGGAGACAGTAGAAGAAGGGGAGGATCAGAGAACACAGGATCAAACATCCTTTTTACACAATGTGGAAGATTAACCCCTTACATTCCACAGTGAGTATAACAAGCACGCCTTACTGCATATACCGACTGTTGTGGGTTTAGTACTTTGAAGTATCTTGATTACCAGGAAGAATTAGCGTGTTCCTTATCCTGTGTACACCCTACAATTATCCTCCCACTCTGTGTACAGGATTCCTTCACTCACTGAAATGCTTTGAATCATCATTTCTGACATGACACTTGCTATGACATGGTAATGGAATATTCCTAGAGTCCCCAGTTAACACCATTTACTGAGATTTTCCCCTGGAATGAAGTGATTTGATGGGTCCAGGGTGCGGAAAGTCAAAGTGTTAGAGTGTATGTATTGCCAAAACCTTTTTTTAATTCTTTTTTTTTTTTTTTTTTTTAATAATAATAATAATAATAATAATAATAATAATAAAATAGGGATTTGTTAGAACACCAGTCATTTTATACTTTGCCGTCTCTGTCCCATTGGGAAGTTTTTAGTCATTTTATACTTTGCCGTCTCTGTCCCATTGGGAAGTTTTTAGTCATTTTATACTTTGCCGTCTCTGTCCCATTGGGATTTAGTTTTTAGTCATTTTATACTTTGCCGTCTCTGTCCCATTGGGAAGTTTTTAGTCATTTTATACTTTGCCGTCTCTGTCCCATTGGGAAGTTTTTAGTCATTTTATACTTTGCCGTCTCTGTCCCATTGGGAAGTTTTTAGTCATTTTATACTTTGCCGTCTCTCTCCCATTGGGACGTTTTTTTAGTCATTTTAAACTTTGCCGTCTCTGTCCCATTGGGAAGTTTTTAGTCATTTTATACTTTGCCGTCTCTGTCCCATTGGGAAGTTTTTAGTCATTTTATACTTTGCCGTCTCTGTCCCATTGGGAAGTTTTTAGTCATTTTATACTTTGCCGTCTCTGTCCCATTGGGAAGTTTTTAGTCATTTTATACTTGCCGTCTCTCTCCCATTGGGACGTTTTTAGTCATTTTATACTTTGCCGTCTCTGTCCCATTGGGAAGTTTTTAGTCATTTTATACTTTGCCGTCTCTGTCCCATTGGGAAGTTTTTAGTCATTTTATACTTTGCCGTCTCTCTCCCATTGGGACGTTTTTAGTCATTTTATACTTTGCCGTCTTTGTCCCATTGGGAAGTTTTTAGTCATTTTATACTTTGTGGTCTCTGTCCCATTGGGAAGTTTTTAGTCATTTCATACTTTGCCGTCTCTGTCCCATTGGGAAGTTTTTAGTCATTTTATACTTTGTGGTCTCTGTCCCATTGGGAAGTTTTTAGTCATTTTATACTTTGCCATCTCTGTCCCATTGGGAAGTTTTTAGTCATTTTATACTTTGCCGTCTTTGTCCCATTGGGAAGTTTTTAGTCATTTTATACTTTGTGGTCTCTGTCCCATTGGGAAGTTTTTAGTCATTTCATACTTTGCCGTCTCTGTCCCATTGGGAAGTTTTTAGTCATTTTATACTTTGTGGTCTCTGTCCCATTGGGAAGTTTTTAGTCATTTCATACTTTGCCATCTCTGTCCCATTGGGAAGTTTTTAGTCATTTTATACCTTGCTGTCTCTGTCCCATTGGGAAGTTTTTAGTCATTTTATACCTTGCTGTCTCTGTCCCATTGGGAAGTTTTTAGTCATTTTATACTTTGCTGTCTCTGTCCCATTGGGAAGTTTTTAGTCATTTTATACTTTGCTGTCTCTGTCCCATTGGGAAGTTTTTAGTCATTTTATACCTTGCTGTCTCTGTCCCATTGGGAAGTTTTTAGTCATTTTATACTTTGCTGTCTCTGTCCCATTGGGAAGTTTTTAGTCATTTTATACTTTGCCATCTCTGTCCCATTGGGAAGTTTTTAGTCATTTTATACCTTGCCGTCTCTGTCCCATTGGGAAGTTTTTAGTCATTTTATACTTGGCCGTCTCTGTCCCATTGGGAAGTTTTTAGTCATTTTATACTTTGCTGTCTCTGTCCCATTGGGAAGTTTTTAGTCATTTTATACTTTGCTGTCTCTGTCCCACTGGGAAGTTTTTTTTTCCTTGACTTCCTGTCCTGGAGATGTAACCGAAAGCGTATTGGACTCTCCAAAAGCTGACCATGCACTAAAAGAAATTCAACTTTTTTTTTGTTTTAGGAACGTTCTCTCGATTTTACTAGCAAGGACAAATTGTTTGTTTGTTTTTGACCATGGTAATGAGAAAATTCAAAGCAGTGGGATGGCAGATTTTTTTTCTTGAGCAAATTTTTTGATGCTGAATGTGGTTTTCATTCAAGAAATGACATTCTTTCCAAAATTTTAAATACTAAAAGCAAACCAAAATTCTAATTACCTTTAACCACTTCATGTCCGGACACTTTCACCCCCTTCCTGTCCAGGCCAATTTTCAATTTTTGGCACTATCGCACTTTAAATGACGCGTTCATGCAACACTGTACCCATATGAATTTTTTAGCATTTTTTTTTGAGACAGATAAAACTTAATTTTGGTGGTATTTATTCACCACTGGGATTTTTATTTTTTTGCTATATAAATGAAAAAGTCAAAACATTTTGAAAAAAAAAGTATTTTTCTTATACAATTTTGCAAAGAATCTTTCTTCATAAATCTAGGCCAAAATGTATTCAGTTAAAAAAAAAAAAAGCCCAAATTGGTTTATAACCAAAAATTATAATTTTTAAAATGTTGTTTTACATTTTTATTTTATTTTTTTATATTTTTTTTTTTTTGTAGCATACTGTCACACTAGCAGTACAGTGTCACCATAGTGACACTGTACTACTTGTGGGGGGTGATGAAGAATTATTTATTTTTTTTACACTGATTGTTTTTACACCCATAAAGGCTGTAAACGCAATAATTTCTCCTTCTCTCTGGCAGCATTCTTGCAGCCATTGAGAAATACTGTGTGAGCTGTGTGATTGATTGGTCACAGCTTGTCACATGGTACAAGGCTGTTGTGAATAGCCCTGTACCATGTGACCTCTGTGATCATTCACAGATTTCGCATGTAGTAAGCAATGATGTCAGGAAGTGACATGTTTTCTACTATTCATGTGATCACTGATTGGCCAATCAGTGATCACATGATCGGGACCTCACACAGAGGTCCCGTACAGCGATCGGTGTTTCGCTGTCTTTCCTGGACACAGCAGGCACTGGATCGCGGTGCCACGTGCTCAGGCAGAGAATGCGGGAGGACTTTTATAAATGGCCACGTGCTCCTGCACTGCTCCCATCTGGCCGTTTTATGTACATGGGCCCGGACGGGAAGTGGTTAAATAGCATTTATCTGTAAAAAAAAAAAAAAAGTTTTGGACAAATGCTCATAGAAATATTTGTAAGAATGTTCATTCCTAAATCTCCAAGTGTATGGCCAGCTTTCCTTTTCAGAAAGTTGTCATCAAAACAGGTTTTCGCATTGGAAAATATATCCTCACGTCTTGTTCTGGTAAGAGATGTAAATTGTGGATTTCAAATAACTTCCGGACATTTGATCGATGGCCACCAGGCCACAGAAAGTGAATGTACCCAGTGCTGCAATATCAGGAGTTATAACTTTTTCCTACTATATCTAAAAGTTAGTGAAATGTTTTTTATCTATACCTATCCTTTAATTGTGACAGACCGGTTTTTAGGTGATACTCCCTTTGCACAAAGAAGGATCTTCATTCACCGTCCCCCGTTCATCCAGGAACAAGAGGATTGAAGTATCTTATTAAGAAAAACAGGCCCTTCCTCCAACTTAAGTATTTAAAATGGCACATAGGAGAAGTCCGTAGAGATATGATGCGGCAAAACCTAACTAATACAAACATTAACGATACACCAAGACTGCAAATCCTCCTCATTCCTCCAGATATGACCATATCACAAGAGGATTAAATATAAATATGTAAATCTTAGCAAGGGATTTCTAAAGACCAGGGTCTTGAAAGCAATCCTATACAGAACTTATAATAAAACTCCAAAAAGTGCCAGTAAACACATTGTATACACTATAAAAATGGCATAACCTAAGAAAAACCACAAACATGGAAATTTTTCAGTAGTCTTTAAAGGAGAAGTAGGGCCAAAGCTCTTTTGACCCTACTTGTATGGATCACAGGAGTGCACTTAGTTGTGCATTCCTGTGATCAGTCACAAAGCAGCTCCAGGTTTTAAAGTCGGGATCTGCCCAGATGCCTGAAGCAGCAGCCAGCTCAACGTTTCGGTGAACCTCTGAGAGCCTGATCCATCCAGTCCCACCCCTTCCTTTGCAAAGCGCTCCAGTGAGTGCCAGAGGGACAGAGCCAGTATGCTGGTGGTTTAATATCACTGGCTTTCTGCTCCGTGAAGACCGAGAACTGATCAACCAGCAGTCTCTCGCTCTTAGAAGCGTCGAGAGAAACAGATGCAGCTTCGGACCAATGCTGCATCCACCTAGGTGAGTATGACCGTTTGTGTTTTTTTAATAAACTCAAATTTCTCTTTTAATACAGATAGGGAAGGTGGTAGAACCCAGGTACAATATAGGGGCAAATATTTGTGGACTTCTGACCATCACATCCACATGAACTTGTTGGGCAACTCATTCCAAAACTATTGTCATTGTTATGGAGTTGGCTTTCCTGTTGATGGCTAAAATGTCTACCACACTTCTGGGAAGGCCTTTCACAAGCCTTCGGAGTGTGCCTGTGGGAATTTGTGCCAAAAGAATACTTGAGAGGTCAGGTACTGATGTTGGATGAGAAGACCTGGCTCATGATAGGTGTTCCAGTTCATCCAAAAGGTTCAGTAGGGTTGAGGGCAAGTACTGATCTTGGATGAGAAGACCTGGTTTGCAGTCACTGTTACAATTTAGAAAGGTGTTCAATGGTGTTGAGGTCATGTACTGATGTTGGATGAGAAGACCTGGTTTGTAGTCGTTACAATTTAAAGAGGTGTTCAGTAGAGTTGAGGTTAGGTGCTGATGTTGGATGAGAAGACCTGGTTTGTAGTAGTCACAATTTAGAAAGGGTTTAGAAAGGTGTTCAGTTTATAGGGTTGAGGTTAGGTGTTGAGGTCTGATGTTGGATGAGAAGACCTGGTTTGTAGCCTTTGTTACAATTTTAGAAAGGGTTTGTTCAATTTAGGGTGTTTGAGGTCCATGTACTGATGTCGGATGAGTAGACCTGGTTCGTAGTCGTTATAATTTAAAAGGAGTGTTCAGTAGGGTTGAGGTTAGGTGCTGATACTGGATGAGAAGACCTGGTTTGTAGTCATTACAATTTAGAAAGGTGTTCAATGGGGTTGAGGTCATGTACTGATGTTGGATGCGAAGACCTGGTTTGTAGTTGTTACAATTTAGAAAGATGTTCAGTAGGGTTGAGGTTAGGTGCTGATGTTGGATGAGAAGACCTGGTTTGTGCTTGCTACAATTTAGAAAGGTGCTCAGTAGGGTTGAGGTTAGGTGCTGATATTGAATGAGAAGACCTGGTTTGTAGTCATTACAATTTAGAAAGGTGTTCAATGGGGTTGAGGTCATGTACTGATGTTGGATGCGAAGACCTGGTTTGTAGTTGTTGGTACAATTTAGAAAGGTGTTCAATGGGGTTGAGGTTAGGTGCTGATGTTGGATGAGAAGACCTGGTTTGTAGTTGCTACAATTTAGAAAGGTGTTCAGTAGGGTTGAGGTTAGGTGCTGATATTGGATGAGAAGATATGGCTTGCAATCAGCATTCTAGTTCATACCAAAGGTGTTCAGTATGGCTGAGGTGGTCAGGGCTCTGTTCAGAATGCTCAAGTTCCTCCACATCAAACTCCTCATACCATGTCTTCATGGATCTGGCTTTGTACACAGGGGGCACAGTCATACTAGAACAGAAAAGGGTCTTCACCCAACTGCTACCACTAGGTTTTGCAAGAGCATAATTGTCTACAGTGACTTTGTATGCTGTAAAATTAACCATACCTTTTTACTGAATACAACCAAACTCACTTGTTCGGAAGGGGTACCCACATATTTATTGCTCTATAGGAAATTTACGAAGGGGCAATGACACTAATGTTCTAACATCAGCATTATACCGTCACTGGCTACCTATTGAATTCTCCATTTCCATTCAATAATAAATCCCAATATAGTAAATTAAAACAAAGTTAGCCTAGTGACCTAGTCTGTAGGGGTTGAATTGTTTGACAGTAGAATGTGGTTAATTGACATCTAATTAATTTCTGATTTCAGAGGGAGATAGGAATAGGCAGAACTATGGTTTTATATATTGTTCATGATCTAATGTTGGAAAATGGCACATTTGTGTTTTTCCCAGTATGGACATGAATTATATACGTTTTATGCTTAATAAGGCATATTTAGAAGTGCTGGGAAATTCGGGCACTTTAATACAAATTCCCAGCAGCCTTTATAATACAGCAAACGTTCAACCCAGTAAGGGGTCAGAACATTAGCAGCTTTGTAGCTCCATCCCAGTGCGGTTCTGGAGCTCTCCACAGCGATAAATGTGTGTTTCCTGCTCTCCCAGAGAGTAATAACATTGTCGAAGGCAGTTGAGGTTTCTTTTTCTTGAACAATGGAAACGTTCTGACCAACTGAAAAATCTGCCAACATGCAGTCCTAGTCTCCAATTCTGCAGTGAAGAAAAGGATCGAAGCCCGTGTCAGTGTTAGTGATGACCCCGCACTGGGCTAATTCACCTGAAGACCAACAGAAAGCTTCCCACCCATGGCCAGTGGTTATCATAGAAAATATCTGATTTTCCAATTGCTAAATTAATTTTCTTTTACTTTTTTTGTGATTGTTATTTGTAACTCTTTCAGATAAGTTGCTTGCTACCATTTTGTTTTATGTGTTACGTTATACCCTTGTATTTTCACATTGTGACTGATATATCTTTTTCACAGTACTCCTACCATGATGATGAACAGAAGCCGCCTCTCCCCATCGCTGCGTCACAGTGCTGTAAGTCCACGCTGATTGTCTTCGTGTTCCATAGTTCTGATCTATGTCCACAGTTGTATTGTGAGAATCGTCCCGTGTGTCAGCTAATGAGTTTTCCCTCTTACTGTGTCATCCCATCAATTCATAGGACAGCCATTTGTTTTTAAATATAATCTTGGTTCTAATTCTGTTTAATTCTCAAATGCTTATGGATCCGAGGTTTTAAAATGTTATCTGCTAATAATAGGGAATCTATTGCTGCTTTAGATATAAAAGCGAAAACGATTAGATTTCTGTCAGTAATCCATGTTGATGCTTTTTTTTTTTTTGGCTTTTGGGAGCAGCAGGAGTAATAGGCGACTCAGCTCCTGACCCCTGCATTCGATACATCACATACCCCTGACCCCTGCACTCTATACGTCACATACTCCTGGCCCCTGCACTCTATACCTCACATACTCCTGGCCCCTGCACTCTATACCTCACATACTCCTGGCCCCTGCACTCTAAACCTCACATACTCCTGGCCCCTGCACTCTATACCTCACATACTCCTGGCCCCTGCACTCTATACGTCACATACTCCTGACCCCTGCACTCTATACGTCACATACTCCTGGCCCCTGCACTCTATACGTCGCATACTCCTGGCCCCTGCACTCTATACGTCGCATACTCCTGGCCCCTGCACTCTATACTCGCATACTCCTGGCCCCTGCACTCTATACCTCACATACTCCTGACCCCTGCACGCTATACGGCACATACTCCTGACCCCTGCACTCTATACGTCACATACTCCTGGCCCCTGCACTCTATACGTCACATACTCCTGGCCCCTGCACTCTATACGTCACATACTCCTGACCCCTGCACGCTATACGGCACATACTCCTGACCCCTGCATGCTATACGGCACATACTCCTGACCCAGGCACTGTGTTCATCACATACTCCTGACCCCTGCACTGTGTACGTCGCATACTAGTGGCACCTGCACTCTGTACAATACATACTCCTGGCCCCTGTACAATACATACTCCTGGCCCCTGTACTCTGTTACATGCTCCTTACTCCTGCATTCTGTACGGTACATACTTCTGACTCCTGCACAATACATACTCCTTGCCCTGGTACTCTATATGTTACATGCTCATGACCCCTGCACTCTGTAGGTTTCCTACTCCTGATGCCTGCACTCTGTGCCTTACA